TTTACAGTAATTGAATGGCCAGAGCCTCCAAATCAGGAGCATTTTTCTTGTTAATACGGTCCTTGAACCATTTATGTGCGAACCCTAATCATCTATTTCATAGAGAAAAGGGAGAAAAAACATGAATGAGAAACTTGGGAACCACCCTTTTGCCCCATCTATGCAATTTCTGCATTTTTACAGTAATCAGCAGCAAATTAAGTAATGACATTGGCCTTTTTCCCCATCACTTGCATCTTTGCATGCCCTTAAAGAGCATTGAAGTAATCTACAGGACGATGGATTCCAAACTCATCCATCTGATAAGTGCTTTGCTCCACCATTTTAGCTCGACCATAAGAGATAATAAGGCCATGTAAGAAGTGCTGCGATTTAGTAAGATTTTGATTTCAGATAAACATTGAGCTTTGGCAAGCTGCTTAATTGCTAGGTCCATCAAATACCGATCCATAACTATGCCTGCTAGCTTAAGAGTTGAGTTAAAGATCTCAATGATTTGATCAGGGTTGCTCAAACGGCGAAGCTTTGATTTTGCCGAGTTGAAAGTTGGGGTTTGGGGTTATTAGATTGAGAAACACACGTGCAGTAATGGTGAGCATATACAATAGCTCACCGTTTGGGGAAGAAAGTTCACTTTTAACTAGGTTAGAGACAGAGATTGCACAGATTTTAAGTTTGGAAAATTGTTTGTTTACCATTTCAATCGATTTGCTTTTTATTTGTTTACCGGGTGAGTGATCAACTCATGTCAATGAGATCTGTAAAGAGATTTGACGGTGATTGAGGAGGGTCCTATGTAGTCCATATGTGTGAGGGGCTCATAGGATCTTTACTCATATATATATATTATATTATATTATATTATAGTACTTTAGCTATCACCACTTTCTCGCATGCGTGCAGCCCTAAGGCTTTGAACTGAAGCACACTCATTGCTTGCAAATGGTGTTACGATCCCAATGTCAATTTGCAGATGGTGTTGCGATCACAATGCCAATTTGCTAAGCCCTTGCACAAATTTATATTTCCCTATTGACTATTTTTCTAGTAATAAGCAATTCAAGAAGCATGATTTAAGATCATATTTATCTAATTTATCAAAATAAACTTTGGAAGGACCAACATACCCTGCACCATCTCTCAACGAGTTGCAAATTACTAGTTCAATATCCTTATAGTGTTCCCCCATCACACTGCTGCTCTGTTCACCATTGCATCTTTGTCAATTATGATTGGAGGGGCAAAGCATCACATTTGTTAAGATTTATTCTCGCACTGTTTTCTATCAATGAAGATGCGACCGGAGGACAAAATGTTCTAAAAAATAAGTCCAAACTAGTTCTTATAACACGGTTTTCATTTTAATCGCCTAATCACCATCCATATCCCTCCATATATCTCGAATTCGACATGACAAGGATCTTACACCGCTTCTTCTTGGTTAGGAGCGTATTCCTACGGATTTTAGCTCCAGCATCTCCCACAAAGCAGCCAAGATAAGCAGGTATTCCTCCGGGCTCAAAATCTTCGGCATCTTGTTGTCTCAGCATCCTGCTAGGACAAATCCAGGCCCAACGAATCTCCAATAGTCTTATGGATACTTGTTCAACTTGAATTTTGAGATGCCACAACCCCAATTGTTATGTCAAAAGCATGTCTCTGATAGGGTGACCATCTTTAAACAACACAATGGTAATGGGATTACATAATATGCGAAAAAGGCAAGGTGGTTTAGTTTGACACATTCAGCATATTACCCATAGTTGGGGAATTTGTTTGATTCAAAAATTTTCAAGTCATCTTTACTCATCCATAAGATCAATTACTATTAAAAAAATTGATTAAGAAATATGCTCAAAATCAAATTCCCCTAAAAAATCATCTCTGGATCATCCATTTGAACGAAAATAAAATCTAGTCGTTTTCAAGGAATTAAAATCTTTTTTTCGAGGGACTTTTCCACAAGGTAAATCAAAATACAAAATTTAGATAAATTTATCCCTCTGAACTATTTGTTAGGGGGACCTGATCATGTTCTATGGTAGTGAAGCTAAGCCACCCTGTTCACACTTATACATTAGGCAAGCATGACACCAGCATACAGTAAGAACATCTCAAGTTAAATGAACCTCTCCTGCAGTAGGGGTTTGCGTTCATATAGCATCCACTCGTCGAGAGGTCAATTATCATGGAAATGTTCGATGAGTCTGTCTGCAACTTACTTAACAAATCTTTTAGGTTTTAAAGCTTCCGATCATGCAATATCAGTTTTGGCAAATGTCTTCTATTAGCAAACAACGACCACATGGGACTAGGGCCAGAAGCAGGCCAATCCCAACCCAGAACATACAAGGCCAAGCCCTTACAAGAGCCGAGGCGACATGAAGTAAGGCCCGACTTATTATTGAGTGGGGCCTAATTCAAGGGTCCCTGGCCCTATAAGAGCCATCCTTAAACACTAGAGAAAGTTGGATTGGAGTATAATGCAGGCCCAAGGCCTGAGGCTGATGCCTTGAGCTCATATCATGCATTTGAGATG